CAACCATCATTTATTCTCAATGCATGAAATAATCACGACGTAACATTAAAAAGAGGTTCATTTATCAATGTTCTTCAGCTTTTTTATATCAATTGTGTTTATTTTTTTCTTTCTGAAAGGTTAATAATTTTCATTAGTGCAAAAAAGAACGAGAGACAATAAGGAAACAATTCTACAAGACGTAGAAACATAAAAAGAAACAGAACAACGTCTAAACACAAGCCAACGAGTCAAAAAAAAAAGATAGCAAAAAGAACCAAAAAAAGACTAAGAGGCCGTTTACCAAATACCTACCCGGTAAGTGTTTACCAGTCAAAGACCTTCCAGTCTAGTGGTAAAAGCTTGGGCATGACATAGTCATGAACCCGAGTTCGAGCCTTGGGAGGGGAGTGTTGGCGACATTTAAGTGGGGCCATGTTTAGCCTCCAAATTTGCCGGGGATTAGTCGGGGTTTGGCCCGGACACCCTTACAAAAAAAAGTGTTTACCAATAAAATTTAATACTATTATATACTTACCGGGTAAGATTTTAGTCCACCAAAACGACATCACATACAACAATTTATCCGGTAAGTGCTTACCATGGTAAGAGTCGTCGTCCTCACTTACCGCGTAAGACTCTTGGTCCTTGTCTCGCTCTTACCGGGTAAGATTCTTGGTCCTTACACAATTGTTTTTTTTTTCTGAAAGTTGGTCTTTTGTCGTGTCTTGAGTAAGCGTTTGATAAACGGTCCCTAAGACACGACAAGAGACCAACTAACTTTCAGAAAAAAACAATTGTGTTTATTCTTAATATTTGGTTTGCATTTATTTGTTTTTTATCGTATATTTTGTCTTGTTCTTTAGCATTTATTGTGTGTGTGTATGTATGTATATGCATATATGTGTGTACAGATCAATTTCCTTCATCAATCGACTTATTTTTAGATGAAGTTTTATCAGTTGTTCGTGCAAATTTGAAATTGCACAAAAAAACCTTAGAAAATTTTGTTTTATATTCGATGAGTTTTGAGGATTTATATCAAATCGACCTCTATCACTTTCAATGAGCATATTTTGAAAGTGTTGTGACTCTATTAAATGTTATTGACGATAATAAAAAGTCTGCAACATTTATTCGAAATTCATTATCAATAAATATGTTCAAAGTTTCTGATTGAGTTAAAATTATTTTTTTCTTTTTGTATTTTTAAATTTTATTAAATAAGTTTAAGTAATTAAAATAAGTTAATTTATAGCAGATAAACTTTTCACTGATAATAATTTAATTTTAAAATATTATAATTAAAATAAGTTAATTCATGAAACCGACCATGAACAATACAAAAAAAAATAAGCATCCAAAAGCGATCTGCTGAACAATCCTTTAACATCAAGAAAACCCTAAATAAAAATATGAGAAATAAACATAACATTATAACACTGGTTAGGTTGGGATAATTATAGTTCCACTATAGACATTCGTGAAATGACACAACATACATCAAATGGACCACCGTACAGGACAATTGACAGGTAACATCTATGCCTAATGGTGAACCACATACAATTGAGAGGTACCTCTGCGATCGTTATAACATATCCTTTTTTTTTTAATTGAAGTTTACTTTCTAAGCACATGACTTTAACTCTTAACACCTGTAAAAAATTTTATTACACTCTTAAGTAGTGATGGCCAAAAACCGGTCTCGGGCCGAGATGGGCCTAATCGGTCCCAAGCTTTCCCGTAACCGGTCATAATCGGTTCCGGTCGAAAATGGTAGGGCCGGTCAAGGTTTTTCATAATCATTCATGAGCCGTTGGTCCCGACATTAAAAAATAATTTTTTTATTTTTTTTAATAATATATATTTTTAATACATTATAAAATTATTAAAAAGTACATTTATTTATAAAATTATTTGAATTTTCGGGTCGGGTCGGGCCGGGCCATAACCAGTCCCGATCCCACAAAACTGCCAAAAACCCCAACCGGTCCTGATTTTCAATCCCATAACCGGTCCCGAACCGGATTCCAATCTTCCGACGATCCCGGGGTGATTTAGCCATCACTGTCTCAAGTATCATGAATTTATTTAAAAAAGAAATGTTGAAATTGTAGCTAATAATTATAATCCATGGTTTTAATTTGGAGGGTTGTCACCGTCATGATGGTTTTCCTTTTGAAATCAAAGGCCCATGTTTGCCTTTTACTCGGAGCAATACTCATTTTACCAACTTTTAGTTTGACTTTCTCAATATCATTATTAATAAATAAATCATTGCATCATATGATCAAAGCTTTAAATAACACTTCTTTTAATTTTTATTATATACAGAATTTACTAAAATTATTATTATTTTGATTATTTTATAACAAATACTAAAATAATATTGTAAAAAAAGTCAAAATTTGTAATTTTTGATTTTTTTTGGATCATAACTCAATTTCTTTTTAAATATATAAAGATTATATAAATAAAACTAGAAGAGAATTCACATAATACAGCGGAATACATCTCGATTCAAATGTTTCGTTCTTTTTTTATTTTTGTCGATGTTATAATACAGTTTTATGTGATTTTGAGAAACAATAATGTTTTTAGTTTTGAATAAAATATAAATATAAAGATTCATAACAAATTGAAAAAAAAATATTGATATTAGTACCAAACTAACTATTTAAAATTTTTCTTTTCTTTGTGTGTATTTCTTTAACTCATTTTTTAGTTTTAGTCTAATAATATAATTTTTTTATAAAGATAATAATTAAATATTTTGTTGGAACTTAATGATCATCATAATTACATTTTAATTTTTTTATATTTAAAATGAGATGTTTATCTTCTATTTGATTATGTTTATCTGCAGTTAGTTACACAAATTCAAACACGAAACTTTAATAATTTGTACCTAATCACAATTTACTTCTAATCTTAAATTTTAAATAATATGAATCAATAAACAGTACTTCATATGAAAAAAATGGTTTTTAAGAATTCTTGTCAAACGCTTTATAATATAGTATAGATAATATAATAATATGCCATGTATAAACATCTTTTTTTAAGTATATAATATTTATATATGACAAATATAACAAATAAACTCATACACTCTTTAATTCAATGAGTTTTAAATCTCCAACCTTCTAAAAAGTCCAAGCTAAATAAAATATAAAGTTGAAATAAACATTGTTTATTTCTGATTTTTTATCCTTATACTCTTACAAGCTGGGAATTTTTTAAGCATAATGGCATGTCATTCATTTGTTTATCCATAAAAAATAATTTAGATACAGGGAAAAAGTTAAAACAAATCTAATAAACTTTTTTATTTTAAATGATTTAGTCGTTAAACTATTTTTTATTAAAAAATCATTAGCATGTCTTATTTTGAATTAGAAAAGTATTTGTGCAATGCAACGAGATGTATTTTGATTTTAATGTTCTATTTTATTCTTTGTCTTTGTCGATGTTATAATACGATTTTATGTGTTTTAAGAAAGCAATAATAAATTTATTTTTGAATAAAATATAAATTTGAATATATTATAAAAATTTTAAAAAAATATATATTGATGTTAATATTAAATCAACTATTTAAAAGTTTTCATTTTTATGTAATTTCTTTAATTTATTTTTTTATTATAATTTAATTTAAGTTTAATCATAAAATACTTTATTTTTGGTTTAATAATATAACATTTTATAAAGATAATAATTAAGTATTTTGTTAGAACTAAATGATTATCTTAATTATATTTTAGATTTTTTATATTTAAAATGATATGTTTATCCGTAGTTAGTTACACAAATTCAGATATGAAACTTTAATAAGTTGTACTTATGCACTATCTATTTGTAATATTGAGTTTTAAGTAACATGCATTAATAAACAGTACTTTATGCATAAAAAGTGATTTTTAAGAGTTTTTGTCAAATGTTTTATAATATAGTATAGATGATTAAGTCTCAGGACTATTTTTTTTTAAACGAAAAAACCATTAAAATTTTACATTTTGAACGATTAAGACCCTGATTTTTTTATAAATAAAATGAAATAGACTAGTCGGTTAGTGTAACATTTTTTGGATAAAAAGAATATAGGTAACCAAAATTTAAAAGTGCTATAATTTATTTAAAAAAAATATATTTAAAGACTTAATCAATCAAAATAAAAAAGTTTAATAATTTTTTCATTAAAAAAATAGTTCAAAAACTTAGTCATTTAAAATGAGATGGTCTATAAGGCGTTTTTAAACTATTATCTTAGATATATGATTTAACATATAATAAAAATAGTGAGCATGTAATTATGACGTAATAAATCTTCAATTCCCAACAACAAAAATCAAAATGGTATGTTTATAACCATAGAGTAAATCAATGATTGTATGAATAATGTCTGTATTATTCATACCAAAACATACTAAATTAAAATGGTGTCTTTTTGGATGGTTCATCTTTGTCTTATTTAAGAAAATCCACATACTCGATAACTTAGATTGCTTTTTTTTAGATATCGACGAATCATCTAAAAAAACACAGCGAATATTAAATATATGTATGTTTTTTAAATTGACTACCACATTTGTTTATTCCTTTTCATTATACGTTTATTCCTTTTTTTTACTAGCTTATTTATGGGAAAAGCCAAATAAATAAATATATTTTTATTTGTATATATTTAATCAATTTTAAAGAGAAATTTTAATTTAAAATTTAAAAATAATTATTTTAATTAATTTCCTTAATAAAAAGGATATTTTGGGAAGAGAATAAATAAGTGGGGGGTGGAAAAGACAAAAGAACATCCGTGGCCCCTCCGTGTAGGCCCCACCCTTTTTTTATTTGTTACAACCTGTTTCCCGTATGCACTTGAATCAGATAATTCTCTTAAAACACAACCCATTCCACACAGAAAATATCGCCGGAAATTAACAAATCTACGGGGGCTTTTTCTACATTTTCATTTTTTCCGGTGAACGCGGACTCAAAGACTTCAAAAAGGAAAATTGAATATGTCTTCTCCACCGCCGGGAACTTCGCCGGCACCCACCGCGCCAGCAACACCGCCGCCCACTACCACCACTACACCACCACCCGCTGCTTCTGCCCCACCTCCGTCCACCCCCGCTTCTCCCCCACCTGCGTCCACCCCACCTCCATCCACTCCGGCTTCTCCACCGCCAGTAGTTCCAACCCCGCCAACCCCTGTCTCTTCTCCTCCGCCCCCTAATACTCCAGCTCCTTCCACTTCCCCTCCCGCGCCACCCACAACCACCTCTCCGCCCCCTTCCACTCCTACCGGACCATCGCCTCCGTCACCATCCGGTTCTACGCCAACTAACCCGCCGCCTCCAACTCCTAGAAACAGTCCACCTTCTCCTCCGGGACGAACTACACCCTCTCCACCGCCTCCGAGGAGTGTGTCTTCTAGTCCTCCGGCCGCCCCCTCGTCCAATAGTTCATCCGGAATTTCGACGGGGGCTGTGGTCGGAATCGCTATCGGTGGAGTTCTGATACTCGCGGTGTTGAGTATTTTCTTTATTTGTTGTAAAAAGAAGAAAAGAAGAAGCTATGGCCCTGCTGATTTCTATGTTCCTCCACCCCCTCCTCCTAAAGGTCTGATTATTCAATTCTCACCAAAATCTTATTAGTTTCTCTATTCTGGTGTTCATTTTATTGTGTTTGGTGGTGCAGTTGATCCTTATGGCGGTCAACCTCAACAATGGCAGCATAATGCACCTCCTCCCGGTGATCATGTCGTTATGATGCCACCGCTGAAACCGCCGCCACCAATGGCAGCACGACCACCACAGTCACCAGTTAGATCACCACCACCACGGCCGCCATTTATGAGTAGCAGCGGTGGTTCAGGATCCAATTACTCTGGTGGTTCAGATCTACATCCACCACCTGCTCCCGTTTTATCGTTAGGTTTCTCCAAAAGTACATTCACCTACGAAGAGTTAGCAATGGCGACCGATGGATTTTCCGATGCCAACCTCCTTGGTCAAGGTGGGTTCGGATATGTGCATAAAGGGGTGCTTCCCAATGGAAAAGAGGTCGCCGTGAAATCGTTGAAAGCCGGCAGTGGACAGGGAGAACGTGAGTTTCAGGCGGAGGTTGAGATCATTAGCAGAGTTCATCACAAACATCTGGTTTCGTTGGTCGGATATTGCATCTCAGGCGCTCAAAGAATGCTTGTTTATGAGTTTGTTCCAAATAACACCATGGAGTTCCACTTGCATGGTATGTTCTTCATCTTAAACATCCTCAATTTATCAAATTATATCAAGATTTCACCTTTATTTTGTCAATATTTCAGGGAAGAATCGACCCGTGATGGAGTTCTCAACACGATTGCGAATTGCGCTTGGATCGGCCAAAGGACTAGCTTATCTCCATGAGGACTGTAAGTTCTCTTTTCATAGCCTTAAATATTTTGAAAACTTGATAACCAACTATTCACGATGAAAATGCATGATATTCATAATGAATTTGAAACATATTCATTATTATTCAAGGATGTTCATCATGAATAGAGTTTGGAATGTCGGTTTTTGGGTTCTCAAAATATATTTGGTTCTCATTTAACCTCTCTCTACCGTGTTATATATTGAAAGAACACAAGACCAGTATTCTTAAACATCTTTGTCTGTTTGCAGGCCATCCCAAGATCATTCATCGCGATATTAAGGCTGCTAACATTCTTCTTGAGTTCAATTTTGAAGCAAAGGTAAGATCTTTGCAGTCTTAACCGGCTTTATAGTGATGCCCATGAGCTTGCGTTTATGGGTTTGGCTTAATTTCTCAGGTTGCTGATTTTGGGCTTGCCAAGATTACTTCGGATGTTGCTACCCATGTCTCAACCAGAGTCATGGGAACTTTCGGGTATGTCTGTTACCTTGAATTTCAAGCTTAGAATAAGTTGGGAATTTTGAATTTTATCGAATTAATTCTAGTGTTTTTTGTATGAATTTGTGTTTATAGTTACCTAGCACCAGAGTATGCGGCTTCAGGCAAACTATCGGAGAAATCTGATGTTTTTTCGTATGGTGTCATGCTCTTAGAACTGATTACCGGGCGCAGACCTGTTGATTCCGCTAATACTTTTATGGATGATAGCTTAGTTGATTGGGTAAGTAAAAAAACTCATTTAAAGGCAGGTTCTATTAATGTTTTATTCATGAGGAATGTCGTGGTGGATATTATGATAAAAATTATTCATAATAAAAATACATGATATTAATCGTGATTATACATTAAATAGTTTAGTTCGTTTATGGTTCTCATTTGAAGTTTCCCTTTAAACGACAATCCTCCCATCCGCAAATCCTGAAAGCTTAATTCTATGGCATATATGAAATTACAGGCAAGGCCATTGCTAACCCGAGCCCTGGAAGACGGAAACTTTGACGCCATTGTTGATTCACGTTTACAAAAAGACTACAACCCGAGTGAGATGGCTAGGATGGTGTCGTGTGCCGCTGTTTGTGTCCGCCACTCTGCTCGCCGCCGGCCCAAGATGAGCCAGGTGGTTCGAGCCTTAGAAGGCGACGTTTCTCTGTCTGATCTTGATGAGGGGATCAGGCCAGGACACAGCTCAGTCTACACCTCCCATGGGAGCTCAGACTACGATACAACCGAATATAACAAAGATATGATCAAGTTCAGGAAAATGGCTCTCGGCACGCAAGAGTATGCGAGCAGCGAGTACAGCCGGCCCACGAGTGAATACGGGCTGAACCCATCTGGGTCAAGTAGTGAAGGGCAGAATACAAGGGAAATGGAGATGAGCAAATTGAAGAAAGATAGTCGAGGTTTCAGTGATGGATTTTGATCAGAATTGTACAGAAAGTTTAATGCTGATTCTTGATTAATTTGAATTTGTATTAAATTTGATTTGGGTTTTTTTTTTTTAAACGATATAATGATATACGATTCTTTAATTTGAAAGATTCAAAGGGGTTGGTTGAATTAGGGAGACTTTTGTGGTGTCGTTCTTGTTTGAATATGAATCTTGACAGTTGTTTGAAGGTTTTGTTAATGGCGGATTGAAGGGTTGACAAAATACTCGTAGCTGTCATTTGTCATTTTCTACGTTGTCGTTTATGGCAGGCTACCACGTTTTGCAATTGGATATTCAATTCAAACAAAAACAAACCATAACGTTAAATCTATTTTTAATAAAAAACAATTCAAAGGAAAAGTATTTTTAAAAGTAAGGGTTGAAATGGTAATTAAAAACTCTAGAGGGGCTTAAAAGTTAAATATCACCGGTCGTTTTTCCGTTTCTATTCCGTCAGAAAAGGGATATTTCGCATATTCGATATATTTACAAGGGGATAAATTGAAAATAGAGAAAGAGGAAGAAAAGGGCGATTTGAATTATATTCTTGGTTTTGAGTTGGTGATTCAAACCCTAGATTTCTTTTTTAGAAAGTGAATCGGAGAGCTTGAAGCTCGAAATCCATGGCGTCCCGTCGTCGAATGCTGCTCAAGGTCATAATTCTTGGCGATAGCGGGTCTCTATCTCTCTTAATCTTTTATTGTACTTATTTGTGATTGATAATTGTTTGGATAGAGTGATTTGAGGTGCATTAAACTGTTTTTGGTGTTCAATGACTGATTGCAGGGTTGGGAAGACATCTCTTATGAATCAGTATCCTTCAGTTCGAGATGTTTTTAGATATTATCAATTATGCAGTTTATAATTCGTTTAGTATGAGTTAGTGGAGTGTTATATCTGATTCGTGTGGTTGGACCTAATTTTAGTCCCTCTTTTCTCAAATGAAAATTTACACCTGGATTTTTTTATGTCAAACCGTAGTTTAACTTCAAAATTGGTTATATGGATTTAAAGTTCTTGGAGAAAATGATTGCTGATTAGATTAAATCCTTAGAATGCTGACGGTTCTCAAATGTATCCATATCAATTCTGCATTTTATCAGAACTTGGTTTGCTGTCAAAAACGGAAATGTGGGGGTGTTATTGATGTTGCCCTTAAATTGTGCTAATTTAGATACGTGAATCGAAAGTTTAGTAATCAGTACAAAGCTACTATTGGAGCTGACTTCTTAACTAAAGAAGTGCAATTTGAGGATAGACTTTTCACATTGCAGGTCTAATTCATTCCCAGCATCTTTTGAATTTTTCTGTTTATGTTTATCTCATTAACGTTACTTTGTTTTCCTTTTGAGACATGTTCATTGTGTATTTGTGTTTCAGGACCAGATTTTACTATATTTCTTTGGAAGTTGCATGTGTAGAGTACATATTCTTCCTGTTGTATGCTATGCACTATCTTTATCTCCCTTGTGTTCTTTTCTTGTGATGGTGCACATGCTTATTAGATCTAAGAAGGTACCACAATGATCCCACAAGCATGGTAGTTTACTTGTAAAACACATTATGGTTTGAGAAACCCTAAATAGTGAATTATGTCCTAAGATAATAGATACACTGGAACATATGGCTCATGATAAAAAGGTGAATGTGTTCCACCAAGGCTTCCTGCCTTTTCAAGGGTTTGATAGGAAGTCTTTGTGCAGAGTGTTCCTTTGGATGTTCAGAAAGATATTGTTTTTTTGACTCAATTCTGTTACCTTCCACTGAGAAAGGAGTAACCTTCTCTGTTTCTCCAATCCTTGTCCCTAACATATGATATGTCATATGTGAAATAAATCAACAATGAAAAAAGTAAAACAGGACAAGCTCGTATTATAGTGCATAATAGCTTCATTATAATGTTAAGATTACAATATGATTGTGCCCTTCAAATTTATCATGAGATAAGACATAGGATTTTAAAAAAAAAATTACTAGTTCCATGTTTTTATGTATCTCATTTACAGATTTTTGACATCCCCAATTATCCCTTGATAACAAATCCATAATCACTAAATGAATTAAGAAAGCTTTTCGCTCTTGCGCATGATTTCTCTAGGTCCCTACCATAACAATTTTTCTTGTTAGCTTATCCAATTTCCATGTGTGCAGATGAACAAGTGATCATCCTTATTATTATTTCATCAATTCTTTGACAACTTCCCATTTTAAGATCTTTACAAAATATTGGCCTCTTTTAGAAGTAACAATTTTCTTTGTAAGTATACTACCATTTAGAAGGAAATCACCTCACAAAAAGTTACCTTCATGAGTGCGTTTGTGAGTACGGTAGATTCTCTCATTACAGGACAATGATTGGAGGATGGAGTAGGCATAACCTAAAATCAGTGGCATATGGCAAAGCTACCCCCTGCTGGTGGATAAGCTAACACTTATTTTGCATATAGTTCTTCAAGGTTTTGCTCCGTTTCAATTTTATATAGACGGAAGGCGTTGCCCGACATTGTGCAGGTGAATTTGTGAGATATAAACTTGTTTCACTCCTCTATTGTGAATCATGACAAGGTTGAACCAGATTCTTGATACAAGCAGTTTATTCGTAATAAAATATAACCATTTTCCGTTTATGAATTTTCATGGATATATGTGCGTATATGCCCTTGTTTAATGATTCATTCTCAGATTGAGCTACAATAAAGATACAAACCATTGTAAGATATAATCTGTTTTGATTTCCATAATGAAAATCACATGGCTGATGTGAAGTTTTTCATTCCTCAGTTCCAGCTGAAATTTTGTATGAGTGGAACAAAATCATGGACATGGACTGAAGGGATTTAGGGTACAAATATTGAACTAAACATTTGCTGAATAATCAATGTCCCGGTAATACTGTTTCTCCATGGCCTTAATTTGCTTGCTTTATGAGGTATGGCAAGTAGGGTTCACAAAATGTGGACCACGGGGCCATGAGGTCCCCGCCATTAAACCTAATTTGCTTGCTTTAGACCCTAGAATGGATCGACTCTCTTGCACCAACTGTTTTCCTTTTACCTTGTTTCCTAATAATTTGCTACCATCTTTATTTGTATGATACAATATTTGTATGACATTGTCATCCTCTTCTAAAAGCTGGAGACATTTATTCTGTTATCTAATGCCCTTTTTGTCTTTTAGTAGTTTTTTGGTCGATTTCATAGGAAATTTAATTTGCAATCTTTTTATTTTAAGTTTGTCACTTGATATGTGAATTAGCTTGCATGAATTGAAATTTGAAGGCAGCATATGTATTCCAGTTGTTTGCTCTCTCTGTACTTTTCATGAATCTTTCTATTGAAGGCCAAGATTCATTACTTGCCTTGGATTTGATCAAAAAATGGTATAAGGAGCATTCATCTGTATTTACTACATTCTATGGAGCTTATATGTGCTGTACTTTTAGATATGGGATACAGCAGGACAGGAAAGATTTCAAAGCCTTGGTGTGGCATTTTACCGTGGTGCAGATTGTTGTGTCCTTGTGTACGATGTGAATGTCAAGAAGTCATTTGATAACCTTGACAATTGGAGGGAGGAGTTTTTAATTCAGGTGACAGTCCTCATCTGCTGGCTCATGAGCACACAATCTAACTCCCCGATATATATGTTGTTAACCAAACATGTTTTCATAATTCAGGCCAGCCCTTCTGACCCTGAAAACTTCCCCTTTGTTGTATTGGGGAACAAGGTAGATGTGGATGGAGGCAATAGTCGAGTGGTAAGATGATCTTTGTTCTTTGTCCTCCATCTTCTTAATTCTAAGTCCGTATACAGTAATCGTTAACTTGTATCGATCAATGCTGGTTCAAGATTTGAACTGGGTAGGACCTTAGAATCTTGTATAAGAAAGGAAAGATTTGAAAAAGCATATTAGGTTTGACACCCAAAAATTCCAATTTGTAATAAATCGATATGAAGTTTAATGACTTGTCAACTTGACAAGTGTTCTTTGGAAAGTCTAGAATCCACAACAATTGGGAACTTGAAAGTAACCGTATTGTTTATCACAAGTGAAGCTCTCTCTGGTTCCTGCTTTCAAATATAAAGGAACTTGTATGCATGTCGATTTGAAGATCTTTGTCTAATTGTTTCAACTGGCATTTCTACTAGGCTGTCAAGCTGCTTCTTTTAGTTCTTTCAGTTTTTCCTGTATGCATCAAGGTCTGTGATCTCATTCCTAAATTCCAGGTATCGGAGAAGAAAGCAAGAGCATGGTGTGCTTCAAAAGGAAACATCCCATACTTTGAAACTTCTGCAAAGGAGGGTTTTAATGTTGATGCTGCTTTTGAGTGCATTGCCAAAAATGCTCTAAAAAATGAGCCCGAGGAAGAAATGTAAGCTTTTATTCATTTTGGTCATTTAATATATCCATTCCATGAGTAGTTTCTCGCAAAATGAAGATATGATCATGGGTCTCATTACTTAATAGAATGGAAAAAAATGGTGTAAAGAAATGAAATTTAAGTGGCCTTACAAAGTTCTTTAGTCATGTCGGATTGTGTAAACGAGAAGGCTAAACACTTCTTTTCACTTTTTGTTGTGAATGAAGCTACCTTCCTGACACGATCGATGTGGCAAATGGGCAACAACAAAGATCTTCAGGGTGCGAGTGTTGAGCACAAGTTCAGTTTGCTTGACATTCCATGGGACTCGAGACAAATAGACACATCTCCTCCATTCGAGTTGCAACCAAGCATTTCTAGGCATGCTGATGGGAGTCGTATGTACATTTGAATTTTACATCATAAGTTAGCTTTTTGTCAACATGTTCATTTGTTGTTTTGATTTGTGAAGGTAGAAACATATACATAACGTACAATTCCATTATGGAAACAAAAGATCGATTACAATTACCACCAAAAATGCAATCTAACTAGCATAGATCACAATTCACACAAGCGGTAGGTAGATAATGTGTGCATGTGTTAGAAAGTATTAAAACCTAAGAAAATCTTGAAACCGTAACACAATTCATCCTTCCCTTTTGATCATGTAGAGAAGAAGGGAGAATGGTTCTAGTGAATGCTATTTACATTCACTACATTATAATCATCTCTCTCTTAGTCCTAGTCTTTTTCCCTTTCGTGGTTTTTTACCATGCTGTTCCTTGTACTAACAGTTAGCAAGCCGTTAATGTCGGGCTGTTGGGCTTCGTAATCCATAAGCCTCAAGCTTCTCAAGGTATGACATCTTTGCTTTTGTCAAAATTTTAGCAGGTTTGATTCTAATCTCCATCAAGTCAGCATTAGAGTTGCCATTTGTCTCCATTTCTCCTTGATCCAGACCCCGCCCCATAGAACCTGATAGTGTCATTGACCTAGGTATTCCTCTAGGAGTGTGGCCTGGGGTTTGATCAAGGGCCCTTATGGCCCGTGGTGATGCTACTACAGAATCCATTGATTGGTTCTTCTTGGTCATCCCGGATGATGGATTCTGTGCCACTTCATCTGCATAGAGTACATCTTCTATGAGATTCATCACTCTGTTTGCCAAACTCTTTAACACTCTTGAATAACTCTCAAGTATAGAGTGACCGACATCCTACATAGTTCACAAAACCATGAGTTATAGTTGATAAAGACAAGTGTTATTTGTCAAGAAAAAGAGAAGGAAAGAAGGGATTTTCTTGATCATACTCTGTTGTACTCAATTTTGCTAATTTCTAGAGACGATCGAGGAAGTCCGGGGAATCTCTGTTCCAGGAGTACTAAAATAGTTTCCACCCTCTCTTCAAAGAGTTCTCTCCTTTCCACACTTATCCAAGAAGACTTTGCCTCCTTTTGATTCATCTTTCTCTTCCATATGACGATTGAAGCTTCCATTCTGTTCTTGAGGTCGAGCACATTTTCATCTGATGACATGTCCATGGTCGCTAGGATTTCTCCAGGATCGAAAAACTCATCCGTAATGGTCTTGTAGATTGAATCTCCCAGGCTAGTTTTACCATTCTGTCAAGGAGATAGATAAATTAGGTAGCAAATCATGAAGCCGACACAACTGCTTAAATAGAAAGAAAATTTGAAGATGAGTATACCTTGGGGAGGTTATCTATGTAGGTCTCTGGGATCTCCATTTCCGATAGAATTTGAGCGTTGATGGCCATGGAAGCTTTAAGAACTTGGGTACAGCAGTCCTTTTGATGTTGCATCCATTTTCTTGATTCATCTGAGAGCCCTCCTGGAAGAACCTTGACAATAGGTAGCCACCATTTTTCAGATTCATCTGCATCCTTGTAAACATACCAGAATTCCTTGTGATCCTTGAAGCTTTCTAGACAACCCTGAAACATGCAGCTTTATCATTACTAGAATCAATTTGAGTTTAGAAGTTTAAGTTTATTATATAGGAAGCAATTGTTACAATGAGCATTGCATCAAGCTTCTTTAAAGCAGGGATATTGATGAGCAGATCTGTTCGTTGTTGTGTCACCATAATCTGCAAAATCAGAAATAGAAACGTGAGAATATGTGGAATCCCATTAGATTACTATCGAAAAGAGCCAACATATATTGACCTCTATATTTGATCCATCGTTGGCTTTCTGTTGAGATGGAAGGAACTCAACGATGTAATCAGTGGCGGAGAGGAGCCAATCGACTTGTTTTCGCCATCTGTTTTTTGCATCTGGTGGAATTGGAGCCAGTTTACTTTGTTTTCCAAAGACAGAAGCTGCAAAATGGGCAGAGAAATTAATAGTAAAAGAAGGTCCAGTTGGATTTGGGGTTGAAAAAGAAGTAATGAATTACCAGCAAGATTTGTAATTGCATTCGATAAAGCCAAAGCGGATGAAATCCCTCTGCCACGACCCGACATATCTTCTCCGAGAAGCAGCGTCGTGAATCTTTCTTTCATCTGTTCCATGTCTAGAAACAGAAGAGAAAATAGAATCAATTATAAGATCGGGGTCTGGATATTCAATGAAAAAACATACCAGAAATAGAAGACATGGTAAAGAAGGAAGTTGAGCGGCTGGTATGAGGTTTTAAGCTAATAGCATTATTTGCAGGTATGGCTGATGGATGTGATGGAATGTTGCTTGTTTTCTCTTGACAGCATCAGAGCTTATAAGTTGTTATAAATAAAAAGAAAGAAAAAATGGGAATTTATGAGAAAAAGGGGGTTTTGGTGCATCTTCTCTTGTTGAACGTGGGTGCATGTTGTTTTTCTTATATTCTAAAGAATGTAAAAAATAGAGAGAGATAATAATAGGAGAGTCGGGGGTATTTACTAAACATTTATCCAGATAAGTGCTTACAGGATGAATATGACAAGGACCAAGAACCTTACACGGTAAGAGCGAAGGCAAGGACCGATGAGTCTTAGCCAGTAAGTGATGGCGACGACTCTTACCATGGTTAGCGCTTACCGGATAAATTGTTGCATATAATGCCAATTTGATGGAATAAAATCTTACCCGGTAAGTAAATGATAGTGTTAAATTTTACCGATAAATACTTACCGGGTAAGTGTTTAGTAAACGGTCCCTTGTTTTATGGTCTTAGGAGAAAGCGTGGAAATGGCATTTCAGTTTACATCTCTCTTCTGGTTTCTGTTTTGAAAAACCAGATATTGACTTGAGACGTGTTTTTAAACAACCATACAAATATATTTCTTTACCAAATGCTTTATAAAAAACTAGAAGGGTACTCGTATAATATAACGAGATATATTTTAATTTTAATGTTTTCTTTTGTTGTTTATCTATGTCGATATAATACAGTTTTTAGTGGTTTTGAGAAAACGATAATGTTTTTATTTTAAATAAATTATAAATTTAAATATATCATAAAAATTTGGAGAAAAATATATATTGGTATCAGTATCAAATTTACTATTTAAAGTTTTGGTTTTTTTGTGTAATTTCTGTAATGTTATATTTTGTTTATAATTTAATTTAAACTTAATAACAAAGTAATTTATTTATCGTTTAATAAAATAATTTTATAAAGATAATAATTAAGTATTTTGTTATAACTAATAATTATCTTAATTATATTTTAGATTTTTATATTCAAAATGAGATGTCTATATCGTATTTGATTATGTTTATCTATAGCTGGTTACACAAATTCAGAAATGAATCTTTAATAAGTTGTACTTACGCACAAGTTATTGTCATCTTGAGTTTTAAGTAATATGTCATCTTGGACCTGAAACCTCCTGGTACTTTTGACTTTTGGAGTCAAGCTCAAACCAATCAGGCACCACCCTTGTGGTTATTTTGCCCATGGTCATTGCGATGCCAGCCATGGGCTTGGGCCGGCCTTTTGCAACTAATGATGGGCATGGAGGCCTTTTGCACTTTTGAAGACATGACATCTCATAAGAGCTCTTGACGACATAAGATCAATGTGGTAGACTACGGTGGAGACGTGTACTTAGCATAGACGGGAGGAAGGGAGCTCAAAAACTTTTGTGGCCAGGGGCATACCATAGACATTTAATTAACACAAGACAAGATAAAATAAAAGTTTTATAACAATGTATAATGTCATTAATAATTAGTAAGACACGTAGACATACGTTGTAACGTTAAAATCATGTGTTTATAGAAAATTATGTTTCATCCTTAGTTACAACCATTATTAAAATTAACAAAAAGATAAGCATATTAAGAAACATATTAACAAGATAATCTAGTCTGTAACAAATATAACAATATATATATATATATATATATATGTGTGTGTGTGTGTGTGTGTGTGTGACTCATTTGATTTAGTGTAGGTTATCACATTTTAATCATCTTCATTCTCACTTATTAAGTAAACGGGGATATATGAAAAAGTCTCATCTACCTCGAGTTTAAATCTAGACGCTATCAAAAACGCTGTGTTGGAGGTTTACCTGTGATGACTTCAGGTCGTTCGTGATCGTCTGGAGGATTAGTCGGTGTGCATAATCTGACTTGATGACTCACGATTACCCAATATATATAGTGTGTCTTAGATTAGGCCTATCATTGTTACAACCGATACAAATCAATCTTGTCCATCTGTATTTTCATATTTTTCTGTTTTGTTTTAATACAGTAAGGGTAATTTCGTCTTTCTAAAGAAGAGGATAATTGATGTTTTTATTTATTTATTTTCAACATGATAATTAATATCCCGATTTCTAGGGATTTTATTTTGCTTATTTTAGTCGTAACCATTTTGGTAATTATTGGATGAATACCCATTTCTTCAACACAATCATTTTATATTTTGTTTTAGGGTTTTTCATTCATCATTTTCTGTATATGCAAGAACAATGGACAATGACGAAGCCATATTTGGTAATCAGATACATCATATTCACCAGTTTTTAACAATGATGAAACCATAATCAAATGTTTTAGCAGGTCCAATAATGAGATGTGGTGCATTAGGTCCATGAAACCAGATCCAGAAATCCATCAGGTCCATAAAACCAGATTAACAATGATGAAACCATATTCAGTAATCAAATGTTTCATATTCATCAGTTTTTAACTAGATTCAAAAATCAAATGCACTAGTGAAATGTGTTGCACATGGATTAGTTGTCATCATTTGAATTATCTTTCCATGTTTCTTCGCATAATAGTAAGCGATTTGTACGGAAAGTTTATGATCATGGAGAGGATATACCGCTGAATATCTCAAAAATAGTAATTAATTGGAGGGTTGGGTTCCGATGAGAAGAGAAGTTATGATAAGAAGCGTAAGAACAGATCTTCATCCTTGGATCAATCCTAATTGTATATAGAATATAGACAATAAAGATACTTAAGAAGCAATAATATAATATCAGTTATACGATAACAAGTTACAAGCCAATAAACCGTTTGATAAGATCTTACAACTAATTTAATCGAACAGCTTTGGCTTTAATTAATTATTTATTTTAAACACATGTTTGAAAGAATTGGTTCACAATTTGAATAAATAGTAAAGATGGAATGAAAAATTTTGTTAGATCAAATAAATACCAGCAATAAAGACGAAATAGGATAAACGTTATCATATCGATATCTACATTTGTTTGTATTGATTGCAAACACATACTTATTTGTCATGCCAGATGTGGTAGTTGATATTTGATGAAAGATATATTATCAGTAGTCGACTAGTCGTATAAAAAATTTACGATATAAAATTAATGTATGAACTTTAATACAGTTTCATACCCAATTTATAAACTGCTTATTTAACTTCTATATCACACACTACCAAACTGGTCACCTCTCCGACGGTCATATCTGTTGGAAATATGGAGCCGATAATTCTTTTTCCGACAGATTTTTGGTTTTCAGGTGGAAATTAGCCAACTTTTTTTTAGTTTATTTAAACAAATATTAATTAAATTAAAAAATTATTAACAAGATTTAAAAAAATTGAATTAAATTACCGGCGGATTATCCGTCGGAAATTTAATTTAATTTTTAAAATTTTTATTTTTACTCTTTAAATATTTCCTCCGACAATTTATAATAATATATTTTAATCTTTAATTAATTTTCGACGGATTACGACGAATGTTAATCTTAAAAAATTAATCAAAAATCTGTCGGAAATCCACTAGTAACTTATTGTAATTAGAGTTAATAATTTCGTAAATATTTAATTTGTATAATCCATCGGAAAAATTGCCGGAATATAAATAGTGGCGTTTTTCCCGATGGATTTTCAACGAAAGTCAACTAAGGTTGACTCTTTTTGTTGTCCGCCAGAAATCCGCTGCTATTTCTCCGACGGATTTTTTCGCCGAAAATAGCCAGTTTTCTAGTAGTGACAACTAAGATTACCCGTTTTATAGCATCATCACCTTCCCTCCCATTTTCAATCTTTCAGTTTCATTTGCCTCACATGGTTTCACCATCGTTCTTTGTGTTCATCGGTTTCTTTCGCTTTTCTGTTTTTGACAGATACAATGAATATATAGAAGTAGGTTCACATCAAAACTTCAAGATTCAACTTGGAGCTTCAATTTTTGAAACCATTAATGGAGGTTTTCGTACTTCAATTTCACCTTTTTCGATCCCGGTGTTCATCTTTTTGTTTCTTTTTTTCACTTTTCTCTTATCAAAGAAACAAACCTAAATGTAACACCCTAAAATATGAAAGAGCGATTACTTTAATTTTTTTTTGTTTTGAAATACCTGAATTAAAAGATAAATCTCTTTCTATAAATCAATATTCAATTACCTCAAATAGCAAATCTAGATTTTACATCAACAAATAATAAACCAAGTCTTACATAAAGTCTAGGTTAAGGTCGATTGTTATTAAAAAGCCAATAATAGTCGTTATCTCTAAAATACGGAAGATGTTCCCGAATAGCTAAATTCTTCTCGGGTATTTAACTAGCATTCAACTCTTCATGGTGTTGTTAGTACTATTCCCCAACAAGGACATGGTACACATGCCGACAAATAAAAAGGGTTAGGCTTAACGCCTAGTGAGTTCAAACAGTTTTTTCTTTAATATAAAACGGTAAATTGAAAAAGATGCTATTTAAATCATAATTTCCAAAATAAAATGTATTAACTATAAAAACATCTTTCCTAAAATCCACCATTTTCGTGATAAAAACCCATGAATCAAAACATTGTTTTAACATAAAACAATGTGAAGAAGGCTTAATATCCAAATACTAAAAATATAGATAAAATTTCATTATCCAAAACACCCAAATACGGATAAGTATAAGATACCATAATCATAAATTATGGATACATTCCATGCCCAACACAACACCGAAAACATGAATACCACACTATCCAAAACATCCTTCGGTGAAAGGGAAGACCCACATTCATCAAATGTGGCGGAATACAAAAGTAGGCCACGTAGCAATGTTATCGAACTGCACCTCAAATCTATTAACTTCAGTATACATTATATCAAGTGTCACCTCAAGTCTTAATACCTTTAGTGTCCAACCCTTATCGGGTATCACCTTAAAGGCACAATACCTTTAGTGCACACCCCCTACCGAGCGTCACCTCAAGGATACCGGGTCTTAGTGCTCATTCATTCTCTAGCTGAGTTCAACCTCAAGGTTCCCATTTGACCTTTAGTGTCTACTCACTAGCATTCAAGATAGTAACATCATATTCCCTACTTGATAACACATGACATTTAACCCTCATGCATAAGGGTTAAAGCATCAAAACCACAATACCCACAGTCCCGAAGTCTGACTCATAAGATTTCACCTTCGCAATACTGGGATGACTATAATGCTTGCACGAGCATTGGTGCACACGGTGAGGACATCAAGACTCCCCATTTATCAAACACGTCTGACTCACATGCCTATGGATCCAATGCATTACAGTCTAAATTACATGATTCCAAATGAATGACCAACTCACTCAAACATGTAATTCTCAAATAAAATGAAATAAACACATTTCATGTCTAAAGCTCAATATTGAGTAAATTAAACTGGACAAATTTCTCAAATGAGCTAGAGTCAACCCAATATACTCACACTTATTTGACTACTCAATAAAAGTCAACGTAAATAATAAAAACACATTTAGCCAACGTTTATGCAAAAACATGCTTCAAAATATGATCATCATTATTTGAGACAATTCATTTTCCAAATGAAATCATACTATTTATATCCCCAAAATGCTTTCTAACATAATAGTGTGCATTTTCCAAACGATTTATAAGACAAATATATTAATAGTGCATTAACATCAAATAATATCCATTTATGCAATAGACCATGAAAATGACACACTCTTAAAATTTATTTATCAAAATGTCCAAAAAAATCCCAAATATGGCCATTTCACAAGATTTATAAATCAAATATACCCAATACACAGATCTCATCAAATAAACAACATGTTTGATAAATATCAAAAAAACGTCTTAAAGACTCCAAAATGGACATTTTTAGCATGTACAAAGTTTTCATAAAACAACTGAAACTCATCTTGTTAGATTAGGTTAAACCAAGATTCCAAACCCAAATTTTTAGCTTTCAAAGATGAAGACTTGAGATCCATAAGCTAGAATTCCAGAATATGGTGTAAAGCTTTCAAGAAAACTCTTTCAGATCCCCAAGATCTATCAAAACACCACAAATAGGAGAAAAAAAGTTGAGGATGCAAAAATACCAAACCCTAGGTTAAGCAACAAGGATTTAGATCTTATCTTTCAACTTCTAAGAACTCCAAATCATCAAGATAACTTTAATTCTTCTTGTTCTCCCTTTAAAAATCTTCAAAAGACGAAACTCTAGCCTCAAGAATCGCCAAAATTGGAAAAGAAACAAGAAAGTTATGACCAAATGAAGAAAACCTTAAAAATCACATTTTTAACCCATGGGTGCTGCAGAGCGGCTTGAACTTAAGTCGCTTGGGAAGTCATCCGAGCCAAAAATCATCCTTCCAGAGTCCTAACCGACTTGTGAAGCGATTTAAGTCGCTTGGCAACCAGCTTGGCACTTTGTGTTTTTAAGTTGTTTTGCGACTTCTCGTGCAATCAAACTTGCATAGGAGATCCCTTAATACCCCAGATGACTTTCAACACAACTTTTCTTCACCCCAAATCAACTATAAATGCCACAAACATTCAATAATGGTTGGACACCAAATGACTTTCTAAAACAAATCCACACCCCTAAACAGTTAACCGCAAAACACGAGTGTTACATTAAAAACCCAAAAAGGTAACTTATGTTGTTATGTTTGTTCAAAAGCAACAAACGGAAGCCCCTGATTATTCATCTTTAAACAAAATATACCTCAAGACAATTTAAGAGCAACTGTGTACAGAACCTTTGTTACCTTTTAGAGTCGTGATTGATAAAAAAAAATATCAAAATTTCCCAAGATTAATTCTACAAAAAACAAAGAACGTAAAATTTGATACAAAAAGTGCACCTAATGAGGAAGAAACTAAAATTCTAAAGTTGTGATAAGAGGTAAAAATACATACAATAATTCTAAGGCTACTAGCTGGGTTTAGGAAACTGATTATCAAATTAACCCTTTTTTGTGGCTTCATCTTGGCTTTGTTTCAGGAATCATTTACGGTATCCATAATTCTATGTGAAGCTACTCGATCCACCACCTACAACAGAAGTGGCAATGAAGCTCTTGAATACTGTAACTTTTACCCTAAAGATGCTACACCAAAGCTCAATCACATTAAAAACTAGACAAATCATGAATAATAATATGTTTCTCAATTCTGATATATGTGAATGCAAAGCCAAAATTATTTAAAAAAGACAGTATCTTCCAAGACTCTGAATCAGATACTTCCCAACTTGTTTTGGAATCCCTAGACTAGTTAGAAGGTAGATATTGCACCAAAGATTCTACAACCCTAAGGCCTAAACAATCACAAAGAAAAGGTTGCTTTTACAAAGCTAGAATCTTGAAAAAAGCTAGTATCTTTCAAGATTCTAAACCAACCGTTTACAAGCTTCTTTACATATCCAAGTTAGAAGGTGCCCTCTTACACAAAAGAATTGAAACCAAAAACAATCATGAAGAGAATTTTGCTTATCTTACCAATGAATGTATAGCTATAGCTAGAATCTTGAAAACAACTGTTAATTTTCAAATTTTTGAACCAGATACTTTCAAGTTTTATAGACTCTAAATCAGATACCAGGCTTCAGGACCTAAAATCTTGTAGCTATTTACTAATTTACATGTGGTTTTTCATATACCCATGAATGTATTTTCCAAGGTCTAGATTTGAGATAATTGTTAAAAGTTAGGGACTAGATCTGACATGAAACAATAGTGAAGAGATGATTCTTGTAAATGTTGGAGGTAAGAGCTGGCATCATATGATTAGACACAGCTCATTCACAACCGCCCCCCTTTATAAAACATTACCCATCAAACATTGTGCCTAAATTGCAGAATCTATATATACATTTAGGGTTTAAAAATCGATTTTTAATCGAACCCTGATCATGACATACAACAATATCCTCGAACTCTTCGCAGCTACCTTGGATTTGCAGTTTTAGTTTGATTTCAATTCAGATTCCAGTGTATAAGTAGAGCAATCACGTACTAAGTTCACAGTTTGTGATTTCAAGCAAGGGTTTTGAAGGATTGAGTAATGGGGGATGAAAAATCACCGATTAGCAGAGAAAGAGATCGGGAGCTTCTTATACCCGTTGCCAACTCCGTTGATGATGACGCCGCTTCTTCAAAACCCTCTTGTTCTTCAACTTCATCTTCTAATCACGCTGGTCGTGAGGTTTCTCTCTCTCTCTCTCTGTGATTCTATAATTTCTTATGTATTTACCTTGATTTCGTTGCTTAAATGGGTTTTCAAATTGAAACTCTCGCTTCTTGATTAGGATTTTAGATGATTGTGGTGGGGTTTTGCTTTTTGGATTATATGATGTATGATTCTCATTTTGTTTTAATTTGATAACTTGGTTATTGGTTTTTGCAAATTAAAAATAGTGTTGATTGGGGTTTGAAATTTCTGCATTCTTTGATAGAAATATTGATATGATCTCTGCTAGGATTCATTTATGGACTGAACTAGGGATGTTCACACCGAATCTGGTAGGTATGAAATAAGAAACAATTGGTTAACAAAGATATCTTATTTGTAGGGAAAATGGTACATCAAAGTCATATTCCTGCAAACATTCGATAATATAGTATTTAAAAAAGAACAGGAACCCATAACCTGTGGTGTTCTATTTCATCATGATATAATATAATCAAGTCTGATTAGGGTTTTAGATGGGGTTGTTTAGAGATTAAGTTGAAAACTTGAGGTGTATGAAGTTGATTTCGAGTATTTACCTGGGTTTTCTTTTAGAGCTTTGTTTATAGCGAATCCAATGCTTCGAGGGAAGAGCTATAAATGAGCAGCAAGTGGGTTCCACTGGCTGCTTGGTTTGGTTTTAATCGGTTCACTTCGTTGGATTGTAGAGCCAATGATATCTCTTAAAAATTTCGGCAGTATGCAATGGACATCTTAACAATTTTGGATCGATATTCACACAAACAAGCAGTGTCTCTCCTAGGACGTAACGCAGTTGGTTCCGGAATGGTATACTTGATTACTTGCACAAACAGTTCCAGACTCACACTGCGGTTGTCAGATGAAACCCTCATCGGACAACCGCAATGTGGGAGTCATAGTTCCTTGTGGGCACTGAGCTTTTAAGCCAGCCACCTAACGGGCTGCTGTGTACTTAATTTGCCTCTCACATGATGCAATTGGGCTGGGCTGTTCAGGGGTTGCTGGTTAAAAATCCTTTTGGACAACACAATTTCGGTAAGAAATGAAGAAAAAGAACATGGTATCTATGTAGTTCAGCAAGCTTACATCCACAGGTGTTATGTATGAGACATAAAAAAAACACTCCTTTCTCAAGAAGAAAAACATATAGAAAATAGGATAAGACTATATAATTGTCATTCGCACGTGCCATCAGCTATAACCTAATCAACCGAATTCCTTCAAAGTTGGATTTGTAAAGTCGTGGACTGGTTGCAACTTGAATTAGGATCTCAATCCTACATTTGAAAGTTTTAGGTATTCATCTCTTTTACCAGAACTATCATACATTAAATTGAAATCAATTTAATCATTTGTCTTATCTAGGTTATTTGCTAATAATGATTTCCACTTATCAGCATCTAAAATTTACAACTCCATAAATGCTTAACTTACATTCATCTCTGAGAGATGGTAACATGTTAGAATGTAATTCTGTTCACTAACAACCTACACGTATGCTATTATTTTCATGTAGACATTCGTCAAAGTTGTCAGGAGCTGGGCTTCTAAAAAGTTTATGACGGGATGGTTAGCAAGCATTTCTGTTTAATCTTCAGGCTGTTTTTAATTCGATTTTGTTTTTTCTTTTGCTCATTTTTTGTTTGCTCTATCCCTTTTTGCAGTGTCATCTTATTACCGATGGCTATTACCTTCTACATTACATGGTGGTTTATACATTTTGTTGACGGATTCTTCTCTCCAATCTATGATCAACTGGGTATAGATATATTTGGTAAGCATACGACATATATTCTTTTCTGGATGATTTTGTGCACCCGTTCCCTATTTTAAACTTGTAGCTACCTATCTTCCTCTTTTGAGTGCAGAAATTTGTTATTTGTAAATATATGCAAGCACTATTGCATTCAAAATTTACTCCTTTCTTTTGATGAAAATTGAAATACTTTCTTATTTTGGAAAGATTCTAAGTTAAAATCATTTGTATACTTCTTATCATGTTTAAATATATTTTTTAATGGCGTTGATTTGAAAACCAAACAGGCCCATCATATCCCGCCCGGAGGTGGGTTCTTGGGGAGGCGGGGTTGGGATGTACCTAGACTTGACCTCTACCCCAGAAAGTAAAGCGGTTGTTTTTCTTAAGACCCCGGCTTGTGCAAAATGTGCGGAAAAAAGGATAAAGCTTTCTAAAAAAAATATCAGCAATAGAACATAAGATGACCATTAAAAAAAGAAGTTGAAAACAAGAAAGGCAATGCTAAAATTTGAAAGACGGTGCCAACAAAACATATAAACAGAAGCAGGTCCAAGAACCAAGGTAGGAAGAGTCTGTCCTAGGACTCACCGACTCTACCCCAATCCTATACCTCTCCTCCCGTCTAGGCGTTATTAGTCTGCTACCTTAGTCTTGCATCTCCAGGGATCCTCATGTCCAAAGAAATGCCTAAAGCCGTCGTATCTAACCTCAGTTGCTCATCCCAAGTCCTCCTCAGCGTACTAATCTTCCTCCCTCCCTCGACCCTCCTCATTGGAGCTGCCATCCGTCTCCAACAAACATGAACAACTTAGCTGTGATGTGCGGAACTCCCAACACCATCTGGTAGACCTGGTTTGGTATATTGTCAAACATTGATTTGGGTTCACAATGTTCCACTACTTGTCTTTGTTGAAGGGTACTTTTAAATATCTTACAAATAGTAATATTTTACTTGGTCCGTGCATAAGTCGACACAATTGTGGTTCTTGTAAAGTAAATTTTTGCAACATTCTTCTTTTGGAAAGAGAGCGGAACCTCTGCAAATATATTATAAAGAGGAGAACAATATGCACCAGATACTGGGACAAGCCACAGACCCAGGCTAACATTCTTTCTGTCAACTTATTAGCCCATTATCCATCAAAAGTACAACGCTCAGAGCTTCTTCTTTTTGAGAAGTATATGTCCAAATTACTTATTTGTACACGTGGTTATCCTAACTGTTTATAACCGTCTTTTTTACAAATTTGGATCTGCGATGTTTTGTTCCTATGTAGAGTCTAGAATCACACTCCATATCTAACAATTGTCACACCCTCCAACTTATTTTTATAGGTCTGGGGTTTATAACCTCGATAACTTTCATATTCTTGATCGGGGTATTCATGTCGTCATGGTTGGGTGCGTCGGTTCTGAGCCTCGGAGAATGGTGCATCAAACGTATGCCATTTGTTCGTCATATTTACAATGCCTCCAAGCAGATCAGTGCGGCCATTAATCCAGGTAAATCGTGGTCACTTTCCTCAAAATTTTAATCAACTGATCATCTGAAAAATTGTTATTCCTTCGCAATGCAGATCAAAACACACAAGCCTTCAAGGAAGTCGCGATAATTAGACATCCTCGTATTGGCGAATACGCATTTGGGTTTATTACTTCATCAGTCATTCTCCAGGTACACATCCTTTAATTTGATTTATAATATCCCAAAATAGATGCAACTTTCACTTTTTTAGTGAAATACCTAAAGTACCCTTCCACAATGACAATTTAGCGGAATCTGCTATTAGTATTTTGTAATGATTACTCTCAGTAAAGAGAGAATTTTGGATTGAAACCATGCCAAAAATATGACCATGCAACAAAGTTTTTCTTATCTTTTATCTATGCAACAAAATCTCAAGTGTTCTTTTTCGTACCCATTTTGGCCGATAATCTACTGAACTTGTAACATCTGATGGTCAGAATGTCAAGTTGTCAATTAATATATTTTTGACTGATAACTATAACTTGACACCGGCCCCATACGGTATAAAGTAGGTTAAGGAGTATCTAACTCGTATGCTTAAAATGTAGACTTTTTATATTGCCCTAACTTGACATCCACATCATCAAATGTTACATGATCAGTAGATTTCTTATGAAAGAGAAAATTTTGAAACTCTGTTCCATTGACGAAAATACAAATATTTTTGTTGAGAATTTTGGTGGGTAACGTTTGGCACATAGAATTATACGGGAGATGAGGAGCTATACACGGTGTATGTCCCAACGAACCATCTTTACATCGGCGACATATTCTTGGTGAATTCAAAAGACGTTATGAGGCCGAATTTATCCGTTCGTGAAGGAATCGGTAAGTTCACTGATAACATTATATAAGTTTATGTTTTGGTCAATTTCCATTTGTTTTGAATGCAATTTTCTTGTGCAGAAATAGTGGTATCTGGGGGGATGTCGATGCCACAGATACTCTCCACACTGGATTCAAACAACAAAACAAGCTCCTCAGAGGAAATGTCAAGATACTAATCAAGATTGAAAATGCTACTACCATTCTTTTTTTCCCATTTATAGTGTTTGTTATAGAGGAAGAACAAAGCACTTGGTAAATAGATTTGTACCTGAGGGGCCGTTTACTCAAATATTTATCCGATAAGCACTTATCGATAGGAGTCTAACACTATAATTTATTTTATTAGGTAACATTGTAGTGCATCAAAATGATATATTATACAACAATTTACCCGGTAAATACTTACCCGGGTAAGAGTCGTCATTCTCACTTACCGAGTAAGACTCTCCATTCTTTCACCGCTCTTACCGGGTAAGACTCTCCATTCTTTCACCGCTCTTACCGGGTAAGACTCTCCATCCTTTCACCGCTCTTACTGGGTAAGATAGTCAACCCTTACCATGTTCATCCGGTAAAGAAAATTACCCGCCAAACACTTACCGGATAAGCTTTTAGTAAACGGCCTCTAACTTTTTATAAACCAATTTTCTGTCTTTCTCTGGAAAACACAAATTATATCGAACTCCAAACTTGCATTGTTGTTACATTTTCAAGTTCTTTTTTCAACATAAACATTAATAATTGTGGAGATTAAAGATGAATAAAATCCCGTAATTTGTAGTTAGTTTGATTGTTATACTTTACATCTGGTTCTCGAGCAATCCGAGTCACTAAAGTGGAACTCTTTACGATACGGTATAAATCGAATACAAGTGAATGTGTCAATTCATTTGTTTGTCCTCATTTAGTCTTGCACAAACATAATTACTCGTTTGTGTCAAAAATCTTGTTTAATGGAACAAAAAATAACCAAGTATTGAAAAGGATCCATCAGGGTCGGGTTTGCTTCTATGATATGGTACTATGGTCGTCGAGTGTGGGTTGAGTGTCGAAATTTGTAATACAAAACCACCATGTCGTTGCTGCCCATGTACGGCTTGCATGGGGGAGCTAGAGCTCGCGTATGAAGTTGCATATTCTATACACCTTCCCTAGTGACTTGCACCAAGGCGTGTAGACGGGGGCGAAGCCAAGAATTTTGTCAAGGGTGGTCATCTTTAATAAAACAAGAAATACATATACAATGATATTATATTCATGGCAAAGTTCGATCAAAAAGTGAATATACATTTCAAAAGCCAAAACAGTAACCTTTACAGATTCAATAATAAATTCAACGCGTCTTCGTTTTCGAAACGTATCGATGTTATCTTTCATTAGCAATGTCTACAAACACATCTTTTTCAATATAAGCAACCAAGTGATTACAAATTTAAAACTTAAAAGGGTGTGGCTCTAATGCGATTACAAATTTAAAAAAAATAGGCTTATTATTATTATTATTTTTTTGAATGTGAGGGTAGATTGGTGAATTCCCTGGGCCAAAACCAGCTCCGCTCATGCGCGCGTAGATGTTTAGATCAACTATCCATATGGGTTAGGTGATTTTGTTTATTAGTGTGTTTGATCAAGGTATTGAGTGATATTAAGAATTACTTACATGACGTATTTCTTTAAGTTGCCTATGGTCAATAGTGAAACTAAGTGAGATGATATAGACATTCCAAATCGGCAGTGAAGTAGCATACATGCATAGATATGATAAATTAGGCTTGACGTTTGTTTTTTTTATGTGGTTTGGATTTTCGTGGCTTTATCCATATGATTTGTACAGGGAGAAAACATATTTGAAAGCATATTGTGTGTTTCATTTGTGACTTTAGGGTGCATTTGGTGTCCAGACAAGATAAGACATAACTGAACAAGACATAACAGAACATGAGGTTTCCAATTCATGATTGCCTCAATTTTAGCTGGATCTACTTTGATCCCCTTCGCATTCACTACATGGCCCAGAAAACTGAACTTCTTGTATCTAGAATTCGCATTTAGAGAACTTTCCATAAAGTTGCTCCTTTATCAACAATTCCATAATTGTTCTCAGATGTTGTTTGTGCTCCTTTTTGCTCCTTGAGTAGATAAGAATGTCGTTTATAAAGACTATAACAAACTTATCTAGGTAAGGCCTGCATACTCAATTCATTAAATCCATGAATGTCACATGTGCGTTCATTAAGCCGAATGACATTACTATGAATTCATGGTGTCTATATAGAGTCATGAACGCGGTTTTTGGTATATCTTATGTTCTTACCCTCAGCTGATGATACCTTGATCTCAAGTCGATCTTTGAGAAGTGTCTAGCCCCTTGCAGTAGATCGAATAGATCGTCAATCCTTGGCAAAGGTTATCTATTCTTTATCGTGATCTTGTTAAGCTCATGATAATCGATGCACATTCTCATTGTGTCATCCTTTTTTTTTCACGAACATGATCGGTGCTCTCCAAGGTGATGAGTTTGGCCTGATAAAACCATTATCCAAGAGCTCCCACAGTTGCTTCATCAACACTTGCATCCCCATTAGGGCCAACCGACAAGGTGCCCTAGCGATTGGTGTCGCTCCTGGCACCAAATCGATTTTAAATTTTACATGGCGTTCTGGTGGAATTCCTAGGAAACACCTCTGGGTACTCTCTCACCACTGGTACATCATGTATCTTCTTCTTCTTTAGCTTTGTGTCGATTGCGTAATCCAAGTATGTTGCACAACCTTTTCGTAGATATTTGTTTGCCTTAATCGCCGTGATCCTTCCCATGTCAGTCTTCATTCGATCCCTATAAACATAGACTGTTTCTCCTTCTAGGGTCTGAATCTTAATCATTTTCTTGTTGCAAACAATTTGGGCATGACTGTTAGACAACCAGTCCATTTCTAATACTATGTCGAAACCACCCAATCCATGGGCATAAGTCTTACAGGCAACTCCTTACTGTCAATAATTGTGCATCCATTAATCACTTCATCTGCCTTAACTTGGCCACCATATGCAGTTTTTACTTTATAACTCTTTTCTAGCCTATTGGCATCTCTATTCAAGGAAGTAAAGACAAAACTACCATTCGCACCCGAATCAAATAATTGAAGACAACCCAACCAAGTATAGAGCAACGACTGAATAGAAAGTTAGAAATCTTGATTTGTACTCAACAAGTCGCGTTTAATGCCCCCAAATTGAACCATTTGATTTACACAATATGCAATTGAGATTTCACCTTATCGAGCTTATTACAATGCACTTACAGATGATAAAAGTGACAAAACAACACAACAGAAAATGACAAGACAACAATCCACTAAGAAAAGGTAAACACGGATGCTTCTCAGTAAACAAAGTCAACAATAAAATCCAAGATAAAGAGATCCAATTGACCAAAGCAAACTGTTGACTAGAGCTAATTATAGAATGATTATGAATTGAATTATTCAATCTTCTCCACCCATTTCTTGCTGTACATTCCGTAGATAGAGGCTAGCCATTTAAGGAGTTTATAATTTCCATATTGTCTGCATTGTACTCTTGTATATATTCTTGTAATCAGTTCATGAAATATACACTAAATTGTTCCTGCATCTTGAACTAGTTCTTGATGGTATCAGAGCAGGACCATACGAAAACACCACAAACATATTAATCGAATCGAATTGGTTCTGTTTCATGGCGGAAAAAGATCCTCGTGTCATTGTCCAGAACGTACAGGATGCTCCATTTCCCACTGGAATCATCCTTGATGATTCGAATTACCCTCTGTGGTCACAGTTGATGGAGATGCGCATCGGAGCAAGAAATAAATCCGGATTTCTTACTGGAAAAAGTCAGAAACCCATGGATGAAAAACTACTAGAAAACTGGCTTATCGATAACAACCGTGTCAAGAGTTGGCTTATCGATTCGATGAGCCCCTCCTTGATTCAACGATTCATTCGGCTCCAGACGGAAAAAGAAATTTGGGAAGCAGTCGCGAAAACCTTCTATGATGGTTCTGATGAAACTCAACTTTTCGAGCTAAACCGAAGATCGTTCACTACTCGCCAAAACGGTAGACCTTTGCCCACCTACTACAATGAACTGGTCAGCATATTTCAAGAAATTGACACTCGCATTACAACTCAGGAAGAAAGTGTGGCACAAATTGTATCAKGTAATAAGATMYTTGCCCGCCTTCGTGTTCACATCTTTCTCGCTGGGCTCGATCCCGAATTCAATCATGTCAGAAGTGAAATCCTGCGAAAAGACCCTCCTCTCGATCTTGAATCATGCTATGCCTATGTTCGAAAGGAACAAAACCAAAGAAATACAATGGAAGAACCGAAAGTTGAAACTGATGGAATGGTACACTTGGCTGCCAAGAACCGATTTCAGAAAGGTAAGAATCCAAGCAATAAGGGAAGCTCTTTTACATGCGCCCACTGTGGAGAAGAAGGACACTCAAAGCAACGATGCTATGAGATCCTCGGATATCCGGAATGGTGGGATTTCTCGAAGAAGCCCCGAAAAAAAATAGGCCAAGCAACAGTTGCTACCTCAACCAAAGACGAACCAGCGGGCTCCGATTGCTGCACATACTGAGCATGTGAACAAATATGGTATGTCTAAATCTAATTCTACTAGTGATGGTAGTTGGATCATTGACACAGGAGCGACCGATCATATGACAAATGATCCATGTAAGCTTGTATCCATGTGCTCTCCAAAACAATCTAAGATTCTCACGGCAAATGGAGGAACTGCACATGTGACCGGTGAAGGACCAATACAAGTATCTGGATCTATGAATCTAGAAAATGTTCTTGTGGTTCCCTCATTATCTTCTAATCTCTTGTCCATATCCCAAATTACAAAAAAAATTGAATTGTTTTGTAACATTCGGGCCTGATGAATACATCTTCCAGGACATCAAGACACAGAGGATTCTTGGCTATGGTACTAGGCGGGGGAAGTTGTACTACCTTGAAGATCAGAAGTATGGTGAAGCTCTTAATACTGGAATAACTCAAGGAAATAAAACGTTGGCATGGCTATGGTATCGTAGACTAGGGCATTTATCATTTAGTTATCTTCGAAAATTGAAACCAAGTTTGTTTATTGGAAAAGATGATGATTTTAAATGTGGTATTTGTGAAATGGCGAAAAGCCATAAAACTTCATATGTTCTGAGCGCTAATAAGAATTCGATTCCTTTTATGACTATTCACTCAGATGTATGGGGCCCCGCTCGAATACCCACACCTAACGGTGCTCGTTACTTTGTGACTTTTATTGATG